AAAAAACAATATCACAAACTCTAACATATCTTATAGGTCGAGCTTGAATTAAATTATAATGCGTAAATGATAATTGAATTTGAATGAAATTGAAAACAAATGATAAGTTTTTTTTAAATGGTAAAAGGGTAACTTTTGCCCTTGTAGTAGACCCAATTTATCACTTTAGCCCCTATCGTATTTTTGCATCAATTTAGTCCTCGAAGTTACTCGATTGCATCATTTTATACCCTATCTCTAACTTAAAACCCTAAACCCTAAAGCATAACCCCATAACTTCTAAATCGTAAACCCTAAACCTTACACCCAACTTAGGATAAGGTATAGAATGATGCAATTAAACAATTTCGAGGGTTAAATTGATGCAAAAATACGATAAGGGAAAAAAATGATAAATTAGGTCCATTATGGGGGCAAAGGTGGCCCTTAAGCCTAAAAAAGACACATTTTTTACAAAAGTATATCAATAATTATATATATACTTGATTTGACTTATATTCAACTTAACATGAATTGACTTGAAGATCTAAAGTTGACACAAACCGAAAATAACTGATCGGATATTGATCCAACTCAAAATCAATCGATCCGATATTGACCCAACCTGATACCTGAATCGATCTGACTTATTATAAACCCAAATAAAACCGAAACCCGAAATGACCCGACCTGACCCAAATCTGACTCGAATTAAGTCTAAATCGAAATGAATTGAACTGAACCTGATTCAAATGACTCGTTTGCCACTCTAATCCCATAACCTCCAAAATATTAAGAATAAACTTTCAATTTAACAAATCAAAAGCCTTTAGCAAGTTAGTTTTGAGTGCAATCCTAGGAGAAAGAGTTTTCCCAGCATACTCTTTCACAATCTCTTGAGCCAAGAGAGTGTTATCCACAATATTCCTCCCCTTTACAAAAACATTTTGATTAGGGAAGATCATATCAAGAAAAATAGGAATCAACCTGTCCACCAAATCTTTGTAACTACCTTGTAGACCACCGAGCAGCACGATGTAGTTATGAATGGATCAAAACATTAAGTTAATCTCTAATGATCAGGTTACTAAATTTTTAGACTTAAATCATTATAGTTTTTAATATGATAGAATGTTGTCTTAGTTTACTTTTGAGTAAGATGGTCTAAAAGAGAAATTGGCCATGTTTATTCCAGCCGACAACATGATTGATCGCTTATCATCTTCATTAATATTAACATAAGTAATAAACAACATAGAATAATAATCTAAGCCGTCACAGATGTCTCCACTGCAACTTGTCCAGAGTAACCGACTTCAGATTTCATGTCGGTCTCCCAAAGCTCAGGTAATGCCTGCTTCATATTATGAATGCTTTCCAATGCATAATCTGCCCCTTTCGGTCTCTGTGAAGTCCCCACCACCACAGTGTGGAGGCCTACACGTTTCCCCGCTTGGATGTTGCGGACACTGTCATCAAAGAACAACTGAAACAACAAAAACGTAACATCATTCGACTGTTCAAACTGAAAAGGCATTGATGTTTTTGAAGAACATGGAGAGAGGTGATCATACAGTTCTTTGAGGGTTGATTTTGGCAATCTTGAGGGCAAGCTCTATGGCAGATTCTTGTGGCTTGCAGACAATGGGTGTTTTGGGTAATGTTGAACTTCCACTTGGGTTTGGATCTGCAAAATGGCCAATAATGTTGAAAATTTCAGGGCTGTTAAGGACACCTGGTTTGGCAACAGCTGTTCCTAGAAACTCAAGTTCGTCTTCATCATCGGACACTGTGGTTTTATGTGTAGGATTGAGTGTTTCGAAGCAGATAATCCCTTCGAAACAGTCTTCTAATCCTAGTTTAATCAGAGCTTTAACTGCATGCACCTTGTCTGCATTTGTGAAAATCTAATCCGACAAAACAATTAGAGTTATGTTTAAAGTACGAACATTATATCGAAGGATGAGATTATATCAATAAAAAAATTTAGTAATTTTGAGTGTTTCAAATGCTTACTATTTTTCTGAGAGGCAAAGTGAGCAATAGGTTCCTCAATTGAGGATCTGGTTTCAAGTTATCATAAGGGAGTCTTCCATGAACATAACTGTGGTATTCATCATAGTCAAAGTAATAACCAATCGCCTGAAAAGGAAATTAAAAATTTTCAGTTAATCATTCCATCTTTGTATGATGAGAAAAGATGTAGGCAAATATATATATATATATATATATATATATATATATATATATATATATATATATATATATTTCTAAAGTTTAATTAAATAATTATTATTTAAATATTTTGATCTCTAATTTTTAATTTAAGATAAAAATATCTCTATCTTGAAGTGTTGATCATTTGTTGTCTAATTAATTTCATTTGCGAAAGGGTCTTATCCAAAATAAAAAATGAACACAAAATTATTTCCAAAAGAAAAATAAATATCAAACGGATTATTTAATCAAATATTAAGATTTTTTCATCATGCCAAAGCAAAAAGAGTACCCTGAGGCCAGCCATTGTTGTCCCATAATTCTTGTACAACAAATTGGACAGTTCAACAATTCTGTCCTTCTCTATCCCCAGCTTTTCAGCCATGTAATCTGAAAAATAAAAATTGGACATCTCATTTTAAAAACTCAAATCTTTGAAAGTAAAAACAGTAACATCCATGCATGCAACACAGAACAAATCCTAACCTTTAATGTTCTTGCCACATTCTCTTGAAAGACCAGAACTAAGGGGATAAAGGGTATCATCAAGATCTGCAAATTCAACAAAACATCCATTTCAGCCATTACATCATATGTTAAACCTCTTGTTTTCGAAGCAGAACAGCTTACCGAAGAGAAGGCAATCGAATTTCGGCATCGGTGCTTGTCGGAATCGGTCCTCGAATTCCATTTCCTCACTTGATGGAAGGAATAACCAGCAAGAGGACCTTAAATAAGCATTGGAAAGAAGTTAACATTGATGTCCAAGTAAGCTTAATACATAAATAATTGATTTTAATATCTACCCATTGCTTGTGTGAAACTAAGGACACACAATTGACTCAGATAACCACCATGAAGAAAATCCTAATAAGTGGATGAGATTCAAGCAATCCTAAGCAGTTGGATAAGACTTTAATCAATGAGTTCATGAGTGGATAAACCACAACCACTTACTAAAATCAAGCCTAAGCTCAAAAGTTCCATTTTAAGATCAAAAAAAGGCATAAAGCTATGATTAAGGACTAAAAGTGATTAAAAGGAAGGCAATGTGTTTAATAAACAACTAAAATGGTACAGTTTAAAGAGTTTGGGATTGAAAAGAAATGATTATTTAACCAAAAAGAAAAAAAAAACTATTTTGATGTATGGGAGCTAAAAGGTGGCGATAATTTAACATAGAAAAAGACCCGCAAAATCTTGTGGATGGAATCAAAGAAATCCCAACTTCCCCATCAAAGAAAATCAACAATATTCATGAACAAAAACCCAGAAAGCAGAGAGCTTTTGAAATTATAAAAATAAAATGAATGGTTGAACATGAAAACGTATTGATACAGGCTTCAAATGAATAGATACCATACCCGTTCAAAAACCAGGTAAGCTAATAAAAAATGAAGAGTTTTGAAAGGCCAAAAAACAGAGGAAGCTGAAGGAGAATGGGGAAGAAGAACAGAGGCAGAGTTGGGTTTTTATAGGAAAAATTCGTCGGGTCATTATTTATTTTAAAAAATATATGTTTTTGTTTCCATTTTGCTATCGGAGTTAAATGAAACCTATGCTGAAAACAACAGTATTTTTTTATGTTATACTGAAAGGGTAAGATAAAGTAAATGGAGCAACCAAAAGCAAAAACGCAATCAAGCAACTGTCATTGTTATTATTGCAGCAAAATCCAGAATTTTAATGTAATGGGGTAATTTTTTTTCAGTGTTACTAAAAGAATAATATTTGTTAGTATTGATTAGGGTCGTAAACGAGACGTGATAGATCACAAAATATTCGATTCTACTCGTATACAGTTCAGGTATTGATTGTTTAGTTCCTTTGCTGAGATGAGAGATGTAGCTTATTGGAAGTTCTTTAAAGCAGCCATTCAATAATTCAAATTCCAAGCGATTTCTTGTTGAAAAGCTTTGGATTTTTATGAGTTTGCCACTAAAATGAAAATGGTAGATTTTTTTTATCAAATGAAATTTTCTTAAACTAAAATATATCAAATGGTAGATATGAAGTTTTTTGTTTCCTCTTTGAAGTGGTTTATTATTAGGGTTTCCAATGGCTAAAAAGGCTTGTCCTTTCTTCTATTATTGAGAAAGGTACATGGGGATGGGGGTAGAGTTTCTTTTTTCATTAGGTGTAATGTTAAAAAAAACCTTTAATTTCTTCAATCTTTTAAATTACGCGATTAAGTTTTTTTTGGTAAATTACTCGTTTAATACTTAAACTATCAGTTTTGGTCTATTAATGATGATCGACTACGGGTTATGATTGACTGAAGATGATGATAAAAAAGTCTAGTGCCTAAAATTAAAGTGTTTTAAAATTTAGTGACAAAATCGATACATAAATTAAAAGTTCATATAATCTTAAAAATGACATAGTTGAGTATCATTATGACCACACCAAAATGATATAATTTTAGACATGCAATCACGTTAACGGAAACTATCATCTGCCTCAACATATTGTCTATCACTTAATAGGTTAGTAGTATAATTACATGTAAAACTAAAGTTTAGTGCTACAATCATATTAATTTATAGTTTAGTGGTGAATTAAATATAAAAATTAAAATACAACAATATAAAATGTGGTTTACCCTAAAATAAGTCACGTATATGTGTATATGATTGGTGTTAATGCCGCCAATTTAAGGTATAGGAGAAGTACAACCGAAGTAGATGAAAAAAGAAACCCTAGAAATAGTAAAATACAAAAAAAAAACATGAGATCATATAAATATATATAAATTATTACAATTATTGTTTCTAGTTTAGTCCTTTCACATTAACAAAACCCTAAATTATAAGGAAGATGGCTATGTGTTTGAATATAATATTTATCATTTCCAACACTTTCCTCTCAATTATTTGAATCAACTTAAGGGGGTGGCAATGACTATGACTTTATGAATATATTAGGCTTTTCTCCCCTTTATTATGATGATAGTTTCAAGCTGAAAATATTTAAAATTTAGATTAAACAAATGATGAGCGACTCTTCCAGTAGGTGAGGTTGGGTAGATGCTCAAAAAAATTCTGAATAATATTTTTTAATAGTTTAAGGTATAGTTTTAATAGTCTAAGGTAATTATAAGATAGTATATGTTCAGAATCTTTTTTAATCATTGATAAAACATACACACAGATGCAATTGCTTGAATTAAAATCTCTCGAAAAATAATATTTCTTTTAATCATTTATTCTACTTGATGGGTTCTAATTCTGAATAATAATTTAATTAATCCTAATGATGAGAAGCTTTTGTATTTGCATGTAGGGCTTGAATAAGTAATGAAGTTTATAGATTGTCATTAGATACTATAACTTCTTATTGGATGCCTTTAGGTCTTCAGGTTGTAAGCATTATTTGTTTTCATTCAGCAAATATATATATATATATATTCATTTAATATTTAATATCTATTATTGTACTACACATTGCAATAATTCCAATTGAACCCAAAATATCTTTTTCAGAATTATGATTGTACTAATCATAGCAATAATGCTTTCATTCATACTGTTTTTGTATTGTTTCCATGATTAGAATTTGTTTACAATTCTGTGTAAGGGTTGTCGAATTGTGCGTTTTGAAGATCAGATTTTATTCTTTTGAAAATTATTTTTATAGTCAGAATTTGGAGCTATAAGTAAATACTAAACAAGTAACTTTTAAAGAAATTTACATTTGAAAAACATTTTTTAAAAAAATAAAAAAATTTAACTTTTGTGTTTTAAAAGTGATTTTTGGAGTCTAAATTATAATTTTAAACTTTATTATATTATCCTATAATATGTTCAACTTATAATTTATAAAATTATATTTTTTATTAAGACATAATTACTTTTTCATGAAAAAAGACATAATTATATGGTTAGTGTAAACACCTATTTTCGTCCGAAATTTTATTTTAAATATCAATTGTTTTATATATATAGTGGATATATATTATATTATTTCAAAATATATATATTATATACTATTTAAAATATTATAGTATATAGAAATATATATTAGTATATTATATATTATTAATTATATTTTATATTAATATTTTTTTTAATTTTAATTTTCAGGTTCAATCAAAATTTAATTTAAAGCTCGAGTTCAAAGTTCATGCCCATCAATCCAACAAGACCCAATTTGTAAAGCCAAAGTCAAAGTCCATTAGAGTCCCAACAAGCATATCTAACCCAATTTTGCAAGCTAACCTAATCCAAGAGAGCTAGGATTTTATACTTAGCCCATGCACCGTCTTTATATAGGTCATTAGATCATAAGAGTGATAAATGGTTTACAATGCCCATCAGCCCAACAAGACCTAATTTGTAAAGCCAAAGTCAAAGTCCATTAAGTCCCAACAAGCACATCTGACTCAGTTTTGCAAGCTAACCTAATCCAAGAGAGCTAGGATTTTATACTTAGGGGGCGTTTGGATGGGGGAATGTGGGATTCCCCTAGAAATGGAATCCACATTCCCCCGTTTGGTTTGACCGGGAATGTCATTCCTGGTAATGTTTTATTACTAATAGTGGATTTTTTGGGTTATATTACCGGGAATGTCATTACCTCCATTCCCTTATGTATTGTAACATTACCGATATTTTGGACTAAAATGCCCTTAAATTTTTATTTTATTTTTAAAAAATATCATTCTTCTGTCATTGAATAATAAAAATTCTACGAAGGTTAAATTACAAATTTATCCTTAAATTATTTTAGATTTACAAAAAAAGTCTATAATTAAAATTTTATATGAAGTTCATGGGTTAAAATAAAATTTTAACCTTTCATTAAACCTTTTTTATATTTTTAATTTTGTAAAATATATATATAAATATTATGAATTTAATTTTTTAAAGAAAATATATAAATATTTTACAATTTGTAATATTATACAAATATATATATAATAAGGACAATTTGGTCAAATATACATTCCAATAATCTTTTATTCTTTTAACCAAACACGGTAATCTTACATTCCTGCTAAATCAACCAAAATACAACATTCCCAGTAATCCTATTCCATGGTAATCTTTTATTCCAACTGATAATCTTACATTCCGTGAACCAAACGCACCCTTAGTTCATGCACTGCCTTTATCTAGGTCGTTAGATCATAAGAGTGATCAATGGTTCATAATGCCCATCAGCTAGGGTTTCCAAACACTAGCAAGCATATCAATCGAAGCTGGGGATCTGGCCCTTTGATCCAACGACCAAAAGTAAATCCAAAGCCATCAAGCATCATCGAACGACGAGAGAATGACGTGTGGTCCTCACATACACAAAACCAAACCAAAAATAACAACTAGACATTAGAATGTTTTGAATCATTTTTGGAAAGGTTTATTTTCATAATGTTTCAAACCATTTTTGGAAAGAAACATCAGAATCAAATCTTCCAAATAGGTGACAAATCGACCAAATCCAAGCAAGGCAACAAAACCAAACCAAAGTTGGCAACTAAACAACATGCAAGTCAACCCAATTGAAAAGGGTAGCGACAAAAACAATCATCAAATTCGAAACAAGAGTAAACATGCAAATCAAAATCAAGTCAACAGGGAAATTATCATTTCCCGAGCTATCAATCCTGTCGATTTAGGGATGAAGTAAATGGTGAGATATCATCGGTTTTTGAAAGAAAACAAGTCACCATAAGGCCTCTATACATTCCTACAAAATTGAAGAGAAAAGAGAGAGCTTTGCATGAGCAAAATCATTTGAAAAAAACAGATACATAAAATTGAGAAAAGAGAGAAGAGGAGTACACTTATATTTTATCATTCTCGTCGTCGAAGAGAGCCAACAATCATCGGGAAACAAACAATATCGTTGAAAAGAGGTAAAGAGAAAATATTTTTGTATAAACCTATGTTGATGGGGTGGTTATACAGTGATTTGGCTGGTAGGATTGACTTTAGGGTGGAAATGACTTTCAAACAATGGTCTTTAGGGTGCCCCGACCACCACGGGTGTTGGCTGGAGCAACGACAAGCAGTGGTCCGGTAAGTTGACAGTGACTGTGTGCTTGAATGGGAGAGGAAGTTGAGAGCTTTTTTTAGAGAGTGATCGTGGTCCGACAGATTGATAGTGATACTAATGTGTGCTCTTAATGTTTCATATTTTTTTAAAAATTCATTTCTCAAACTTTTATACCTGAGCTCTAACATTTTAAATGGGGTGAAAGTGACACATTCATGAGAATTTATTCTCTGCACGAGTCTAGTAATTAGCATTCGAGGTTCATATACCTTATGTCTTTATGGGAATTAATTCCTCGCATAAATATAGGTAACTCAATTCGTATAAGCCTGTGATGGGTTTAAGATCGAGGTTTTGGTAGGCCTAAGAGGGCACTAGCAAGCAGAACTCATGTTTTTTTATAGAATAAAACCTTCTTGCGATAAAGATTAGAGCCTACCCCAAAACCACATACAAAACCTAGGATAGTTTTTTCTTTATTTCCTACTTTTATTTTAC